ATCATGGACGACATCTATTGTGCGACACCAGACGGTGTACCATGGTGTATGCTTTTCGCTGACGACATTGTCTTAGTTGCTGAAACAAAATCTGAGTTGAATAGTAGACTGGCTACCTGGAAGACTGCTTTGGAAGAAAAAGGTTTAAGGATCAATATTGAAAAGACAGAGTATTTATGTTCAAACTTCAATGAGAACCAAAACGATGAAGATGTAGAAGTATGCATAGAAGGACACGTTCTCCCCTCAAAGGATTGTTTCAAGTACCTAGGGTCTATGATACATAAAGATGGGGGTGTAGATGATGACGTTACACACCGTATAAAGGCGGGATGGCTAAAGTGGAGGGCCGCTACTGGAGTTCTGTGTGACAAGAAGGTCCCTCTAAAACTTAAGGGAAAATTCTATAGAATGGCAATAAGACCAGCGCTGTTGTATGGATCAGAATGTTGGGCAACCAAGAAGGATCACGTAAGGAGGATTGAGGCCGCAGAAATGAGAATGCTTCGATGGACATGTGGTAAGACTATGAGGGATATGACGACAAACTCTGCTATTAGGATGTCCTTGGGGGTGGTGTCTGTTTCCGAAAAATTGAGGGAGGGAAGACTACGGTGGTTTGGGCATGTCCTTAGGCGACTACCGTCGGATGCGGTAAGGAGGGTAGAGTCGATTACAGTCGACGGTGCCAGAAGGAAAGGACGACCAAGGCGAAAGTGGGAAGACTGCTTGAGATCTGATTTGAGGGATTTAGCCCTTACCGAAGACATGACCTCTGATAGGAAAATATGGAGGCTAAAGACTAGGGTAGTGGAGTAGTGTGGGTCACATCTATAGGGTGTATCATCTCTGTCTTCTTTTAATGTCTTTGTAGTATTTTCCATGACTTATACTTTTTATACGTTGCTGTTATTGGTATTTATGAAGGATTAGAACTGGACTTGCTAACGTTGACTTCTGTGTATCATTCTCTTCATGTTTCCTCTTTTAAATTTAGCCGGATCTTATCTTATGTTTATGTCTATATGCAGAGATTCTTTCGCAGGGATAATTATGCAGGGATTAATTCCTGTTACAGACGCACATATGATTTTAATGACTGCATATGAATACTGTTTAGCTATGTATTTATGTATTTATTTATACATGCATTGCATTTTATCTAAATTTTTAATTTTCTGACTGCCGGAGGTCTTCCACGGAAGTTACTCTCAACCTGGCGTTGGGGGTAGCCTACTACCCTACCTCCCCCTTATCCCATACATATGGGAATTGGGTTTTGTTGTTGTTGTTGTTGTTCTTTTAAGAAACTAACCATCATATGTTGAGCTCAATTTGTTATTTTGGTCCCTCTACTTACTTAAATTTACAATGCAGTCCTGCGTTTTTTAAGGGAAAACTTAAATCAGCAGGAGAATAAAAATTGGATTAGATAGGACTTGGAAATTTAAACCAACTTAGAAGTTTAAGATTATTTTGAACGGGGGAAGTCAGAAACGGGAAACAGGGTCTCCATGCTTAATATAATTCTTTGATTTGTAATCTTTCTATTGCTTCTTTAACCTCCTCTTTTGCCCTTGCGGGAGACCAATTGTGGGGAATGGCCACAGGTTTGGGGAGTATATTAAACTATGATCAAACCTAACTTTGCTGACCGTGGGCAAGTGGTAATCAAATAATATTACACTGTTGACTATAAATCGTTCAAACCATTTGATAAAAACAATAAATTAAGAGATCCGAGCAGAGGTTGATTGTGGATGGGTGGCTGATATCTCCAATGCCCATTTGCCCTTGAGCCTAAAGCTTTTGCCTTTGTTTTGTAGGCCTTGGATTTTGGGGTGAAAAAAGGCAGAGAGAGAGAGAGAGCAGAGAAAACCCATGCTCTCTTGCACTTTATTCTCTTCAAATCGATACTTTGCACTGTACCCTGAACGAGGTTTTTTTTCCGGTAGAGAGAGCTCTAAGCTAACTTTTAAAGGAAACCCCGAAGAAGAAAAGAGTCCTGTTTCTCCCCCTCTCTCTCTTTTATATGTCCTACATTGTCTTGTTCAATCCTCAGAATCTCTTATTTTCACTCCCTCTCCTAAGTTGTTATTGTCCCTCTCAGTTTCTCTTCAGTATTCTCCAGGCAGAGCTGAAAACACTTGCAAGTTGCAAGTGAAAAAGCACTTGTTTTCCACCTTTTAAAAAATGAAATGGTAATACTGATAAAAGCCTGGAATTTCATTTCCTGGAACAGAGGTTTACCCTTGTCTTATCCTAAGCTGTCATTCAAAACTATCCCACTTTTTTCTCTCATTATTTTCCAAAATTTCCCGTTTTGAACAAGTTTTTCCTCCCCAACTTTTGTATTGGTCTGTGTTTACATTTGGACGAAACGCCAGAGAATATCAAGTTATAGTTGAACCAATAGGTGCAACTTCACGAAAAATCATAATTATTGCTAGGCTATATGAAAGCTGTGAAACGATGAGAGATGGGAACTCCAAGAAAAGCAAGGTTCCCCCCACTCCGAGACAAGCTACAATCTCATTTGATTTTTCTGTCATTTTATGTTTAGTAAGAGATTTATTTTTAAGTGTATATTTCCCTGGTGAAGCTTTCATGGCCCAAGACATTGGTCAAGAAATTGTTCAATATCAATAGCAACGCTGAGGACTTCCACGGTGATGATGTTGATTGTGGAGGTGATTCATTTGATGGGATTTCCAAGTCCTTTTTGTTCTGTCTTGTAGCATGTGATTTTAAGATTACACATTTGATTCTTGGATTTGAAATCTTTAGCCTTTTATATACCAAGAACATGAATTTTGGTTTTCAATTTCAGTAAGGGGTTTGATATTTGCCATTTGCAGTTCAAGATCTATTAGTTGTTTTCTTCCTGTTTCTAACATCCATGCTATTTGTTTTTATGGTGTTTGAATATGTGAAATTGATACTCTCCTGTGTATGTGAAAAATACATAGAGCAGCTTTAGCAGCTTTGTGGTTCTTCTTTTTCAGGTGTTGATGAAGATTGGGGGCACAACTTCTCCGATAGGGAGGCATGCACTATCAAGAAAAGCAAAACAGGTTTGAATTTGGAATCATACTCAACTTTAGTGATTGTTTTGATCTCTTTGGACCACATCTTTCTATCTCATCTCTTAAGAAATTTTCAATTAAACCCAATACTAAAACATTTTGTTACATGTATGCTAGAGGGACCGAGCAAGAGGTATCGTGATCGAGTTCGACGATGTAAAATCGATTCTGATGTCTCACAATTTACAGATGTGCATAATTATAGGTATGGTATTGTATTCTTGGATCTTCATTGCTTTCTAGTTTGAAAGTTGTTTCTCAATAGGATTTGGTTTACAGTGTGTTTCTTTGTTCCATATTGGCATAGGATTTTTGTAGCTACATGGAATGTGGTTGGAAAATCTTCACCTAGTTATTTGAATCTTGAAGATTGGCTTCCTACCTCTCCTCCTGATGACATTTATGTACTCATGTATGTGAAACTGGTCCAGATGTATACTACATTCAATATGTCAATTCTTTACATAAACTGGTAGTTTTATGGTATTGACTGAAGCCTTTTGGATCCCTTATTTTGGCCTCTTAGGTTTCAAGAAATCGTTCCTTTAAATGCTGGAAATGTTTTGGGCACTGAAGACAATGGACCGGCCAGGAAATGGCTAGCTCTCATTAGGAAGACTCTGAACAATCTTCCTGGAGCCAGTGGTGGCTTCCACACACCTTCACCTGTCCCTGATCCACTTGTAGAACTGGATGCAGACTTTGAAGGGTCAACAAGGCAGGAAGCTTCATCTTTCTTTCACCGCCAATCATTTCAATACCTGAGTCGTAGCATGAGATTGGATAACGACATGGCAATGCAACAACCGAAGCTTGACCACCACTTCAGTGTTTGTGATCGTGTTGTCTTTGGGCATAGACTGAGTGATTATGACCCTAACTTCAGATGGGGTTCCTCTGATGATGAGAATGGAGCTGGAGATTCACTAGGCAATGCTCATTATTCGGAATATTCTCCAATGTCCTATGGTGGATCTTTTGCATTGGAGCCGATGGGGCATTCAAGTTACTGTTTGGTTGCCAGCGAGCAAATGGTAGGGTATTTCTAACAGTATGGGTGAAGAATGATCTTAGAGATGACATTCGCAACTTGAATGTGTCTTGTCTTGGCAGAGGATTGATGGGTTATCTTGGAAACAAGGTATTTTTTTCCTATTAAACTCTTTGACTTGATACCTTTTGTTGAACTAGAAATAAGGAAGCATGCTCATTTCTTTGGTTTTGCAGGGTTCCATATCTATTAGCATGTCTTTGCATCGAACCAGCTTTTGCTTCGTCTGTAGTCATTTAACCTCAGGGAAAAAGGAGGGTGATGAGCTGAGAAGAAACTCTGATGTCATGGAGATCCTCAGAAAGACAAAGTTTCCTATGGTTCATGGAACATGATGATAATTCTCCCCAAACTATTCTAGAGCACGAGTAAGCCTTTATACATTACATTTTGACTGTATTAATGCTTGTCAGATTAATATCATAGCTTTTGTATAGACTAAGTTTTGGATATCTCTGGACAGTCGTGTTATATGGCTTGTGGTTTTGAATTATCGGATTGCTTTGTCCTACCGCTCTGCAAAGGCTCTAGTTGAGATGCACAATTGGAAGTCGCTGTTAGAGAATGACCAGGCATGCTCTTTTCCTTATTAATTGATCCTATATTTGTATGTTCAATTTTTTCATGGAGCTTTGCGTGGAAACTGACATTTATCGGATACGTGGGAGCTCTCAATCTCTCATCACCGTTGAATAGATTCACATCCCTCCCAAGTTAAGTACTTGAGTAATGCCGATAGTCGATGGGGTTTTTCAAAAAGTAATATTGGTTTCAATCTTCAGATTTTAAAGCAAGCCTTCATGTTCCTTAATGTTAAGTACATTATCCAATGTAGAACATACAAATGAATGTGAAATTCAATGTCTAATAAGCTCATATAAATAGAACTGCCATCAGAGAAAGTGACTTTCAAACAACAAATATAGTAGAACACAACCTGGACTTTAATTGAACTTGAAAATTGTAACTCCAATCAATAGTGTGAGTAACAACGGAGGGGAAACATAAGACGGACTCGATGCCGATGGCTGTATGACTGGTCGAATCCCTGGATTTATCATGGCCGAGGGAGCTTCTGGTTCTTCATTTTCTTCGGGTGGCGAAGCAGGTTCCAGGTCCAAGGGAGTATCAGATTCTGATCCTAAAGCTTTGGAAGCTGTCACAACAACAATACATTTTTTAAGAAAAGAAATTCATGGTTTCATGGTATTTCTCCCCGTACTGCAATGTTGGGGGTAAGCTAATAAAAAATACTGATGCAGATTCATTAAGATTACCTCCAGGGCTTAAGGGTGACGCGGCTGTTGGTGGTAAAGTTGGAGAAAGTAGGAAGGGAACAGGGCCTGCCAAAAATGTTCTTCAGATCAGTTAATGCTAATTTAAATTGTCTAAATCCAAAACTTGTTTGATTGCTTGTGTGATAAGTTACCTGGAGCTGGTAAAGGAGTGCCAGTTGCTGCAAAAACACAAGAAATGGAATGGTTATCTCTTATAACATAAAACCAAGAGAAATTAATCGAACTACAATATATATATATACACATATATATAAGAGAAATTAAGCTCTGTACCTTTGCACTGCACTGGTACGCCACCCATGTTACAAGCTCGGGGGAGACCAAGTGCCAGGGTTCTGTTTATGGGCAGTTGAAGAGGTATATTTGCAGTAAAAATAAGACAAGCACAATCCATGCTGCTGCTCATAATCGACTTCAACGAGCTGCAACAGCCTTGAGTTGGTGACGATGAGCCATTCCCGCTGCTTCCGGTGATGAAGTTTAGGCAAGGTGTGAAGGTCGAGATCATTGAGGCCGTGCAGGCCGTAGAAATTTGGCCTTCAACCGAAATGACTGAAAGGGTTGATAATATTGCAATGAGTTGGAGAAACTTGAAACCTTCCATGACTTTTTAAATGAAACTGCAATCAGTTTGGAGTAATGGTAAACGCCATGGAAATGGGAAGGATTTATAGTTTCGAGTCTTTGAGATTGCTGCAAGCAAAAAACAGGCAGCTTTGAATTGGGTACTGCAGATCAACTACTTCAACTAATTTCCTCAATCAAGTAATCATTCTTTTTTTTATGTTGTGATGAAATCACAAGCAGTTCAAGGTAGATCATTCGCCATGTTAGTTATGTTTATGAACAACTGATCGATTCTAGCAGCCATGGCTGTTTCCTCTTTTCCTTCCAGTTGAAAGGGAACCCAGTATGCATCTTCCTAGCATCTTAAAAAGGCAAGGGTTTTATGCATTGTTACCCTTTTTGAATAGTTTAGGACAATGAATGTCGTTTTCTTTTGGTTACCAATAGATTGGTTAATTGGTTCTACCTCTAAATAATTAATAGGAGTTGGTCATCCGAATATAACCAATCCATTTGTCAGTTTCCTCAAGACACCATTAAATAACACTCGGTCAAGTAAACCCAAGTCTTCAAATTCAATCAAACATTTCGACTTTCAAGTTTATATAGGCAGACAAGAATTGTAACACAAATGGCATCAAGAGGAGTTGAGATGTGTCTAATTCAATCATCGCCCCAATGCCTATGTGCGGTAGTTTCAATAGTTGCCACAATGCCTATGCGCCGTGGTTAACGGTGGGGCTGCAAACTGGAAATTTTTAACGTCAACCATTTAGGCCAACCGATATAGACTTGGGTATGCCATTTTTCCCCTTTGTTTTGAGAAACTAAAGCTGGCTGTAAATATTAGGCTCAAGATCTGCCATGGAAGAATGGTTGAGCTTCTTAAAATTGTTCAACCAAAATCAACCCTGGTTTAGTCAAAGTTGGCCACCCGAATGCAACTAATATAGTATGATATGTTGCCATGATATTTGCTATATATGTGCCCACCTTTCCCTATTGGGAAGACACAGCCTTTTTAGTGCCACAAATAACTTGCTCCCTGCAAACTGAACCTCCAAAATGGCTTTAGAATATGTGAAGTTGGGTCTAGCCCTGGTTTTTGTGAACTTTCGTTGTGATTTAGCCACGGCTCAGTCCGGTTGCACCAGCATGCTCTTGGGTTTAGCCCCGTGTTTAAACTACATTACAGGAAGCTCGACAACCCCGGCATCGAGTTGCTGCTCTCAGCTTTCTAGCGTGGTTCAATCGCAGCCTCAATGTCTTTTCTCGGCACTCAATGGCGGGGGCTCATCGTTGGGTATTACCATTAACCAGACTAAAGTTCTGTCACTCCCTGGAGCTTGCAATGTCCAAACGCCACGTGTTAACGGTAAGGTCAAGCTAAAAATCTAAGCCGTATTCCCCATGAAGTTAGCTAATTTGACTGTTTACCAGGTGCTAGTGGTCCAACAGATGCCCCAGTGAATCTGCAGTAAATCCAACAGCTGATAGTTCAGACGAGACACCGGACACACCGGCTACAACATCATCGATGCCGAGCATTCCTTCAGGTAGACACAACTCCCAAGTTCCTGCAAAAGAAGGCAGCGAATCAAGCCGCTTGCTCTCATTCTCGTTACTTTGTTCGTTGCTTCATACATATGATTTTCGCCTTATGTTTGAAGTTTTTTATGTCAACTAGGAGCTTCTTTACCTAATATACAGACAGTAGCCATTTGTATGCCTGCTTTGTCATGCGTGTTTAATGGAAATTATATGAGAATCCATTGCTATTTGAGTACATATCTTTGTTTCCGTTAACTAAAATGCAACCGACGAGTTAAGAAATAATTCACGAATGCCTATTAACCAACCAGAAAAGAACATGGCATATTTTGTTTATCTCCATCATCATAAATAACTTCAGATTGGAATCAAATGATTAAGTAGATAAACAAATGACAAACCCACTAATTAAGCAAGACAGACAACTTGATAGCTTCAAGAAAAGTCAGCGGTCATAAACTCATAATTATCAAGGAAAACTTCAATTCAAATGCGCGGGAAAATAATTCCTTCTGATTCTGAACGATTTGTTTTTTCCCCTCAGAAAACGAAAAACAGATGGCAGATATAGCATAGAACCAAGGAAGGCATACTTCAAAATCATATTTAACATTATCTTTTAATTCTATTCTAGTGATACATTGTTAAAAATTAACAGTAATACTAATGTGCTACCATAGATAAAATAAAAAAATGTCACATTAATTTTTTAGAGGTAAATGACCAAAAAATAATTAAGTAATAGGTGAGTGACCATATAGTTATTTTACCCATAAAATGAAACGCAAATGAGTGACCACGTATGACAAGTTTTCAACCCCATTTTCTGTTCTTTTCTTTGGCTTCTTATTTTCATCAGCTAATCCTAAGCTGAAACGCATGGCTTTACTAGTAACTCAATCTTTTCTCTGCCAAACCCATTTCTCTGCTCTTCCAAGACCAACACCCTTCAGTTCCATCCCTCCTTCACTATCCCTTTCTCATCCCCAGCCCGGTCTCTATCCTTACAAACCATGTCCCACAACCCCGTTTTCTATCCACCAGTCCATGCCCATTGTATGCCGCGCGTCTCGCCGCAAGTCCACCGCCTTGAGTTCCACCTCGGAAGGAAGTCATCAGTATGATCGTCTTCGGCGAGTCCTTCAGCTGGCTCTGTGGACTGCCGAGGCTGTTTACATCTTGTGGCTCTTTTTGCTTCCTTATGCCCCTGTAAGCTTCCTCTTTTTGATTTCCCAAATTCTCTTCATTTCTTTCAAACTGAAATATTGGTTTTTTGAGTTAACCAGGGAGATCCTGTATGGGCCATCAGTTCGGACACAATAAACGCTCTCATCGGCCTTTCTCTCAATTTCTTCTTCATTTTGCCTTTGACCAATGCTGGTACATTCAATAATTCCATGCCTTCTGCTGTAGCCTGTACTATCAGACAAATTATTTTTTTTTATTATTGTATTTTATTCTTGATGATGATCTATGCAATCACTGAAACCTTTTCTGGCAGAGTAGTTGGCATTCGTCTGATTGATGCCCCAGTCCTTCACCCTGTAAGCATCACTGCCATCTTTTGTTGAACTGAATTTAATTCTTCTTTTTTCAGAAAGGCTTATTAATAATATAATGTTAGTATTTATCGATCAGATGTCTGAGGGATTATTCAACTTTGTTATGGGTTGGACGCTGATGTTTGCTCCATTGCTATTCTCTGATTGTAAGAGAGACAGATACAAAAGTTCCCTCGATGTTCTATGGGGTCTGCAGATGTTTCTCACCAACAGTATGCTTCCTTCAAAATTCTCAAAACTAATAAATTTGATTGCCCGTTAAGATGTATTAAATATTTCTGTTGTGTGATAAGTCTAATTGCAATATCCTCCATTATGTGATGCCAGCATTCTTAATTCCTTACATGGCGATCCGGCTGAACGAAGCTGATGCAGATAGCCGTCCCAGGGAACTCTCTCCACTAGGCTCGGCAATGACGAATGGTGCAGCCCCAGTGGGAATAATCGGTGGGGCTGTATGTCTGTTATCTGTGATATGGAGTATTTATGGTCGAATTGATGGTGATTTTGGAAACATAACAGATAGATGGCAGTATTTGGTAAGTTATTTGGGTTCAGAAAGGCTGGCTTATGCATTCATTTGGGACATATGTCTTTACACAATCTTCCAGCCTTGGTTGATTGGTGAGAACCTACAAAATGTTGAGAAAAGCAGAGTAAGTGTAGTGAGTTATCTTAGATTTATCCCTGTCATTGGCTTAGTTGCTTATCTTCTCTTTTTAGATGTTGACAGGGAACAATAGATTTAAAGGCTTGAGTCGCCTTGAACATCTTAATGTATGAAGAGAAGAATTGTGCAGCTCTATTCGCTATAAAAGAGAATAAATGAACTTGTCCCAATTTTTACTCTGGTGAATACTTGAGCATAGATATGTAATTAACGGTGAAGTTCAGGCCGCTGATGAAGATTTTGGCATAGCAAAGGAAAATCTACAGATTTTGCTTTGATTTAATCTTTATATTTAAGCTGATTCAACATTATTATCATCGGAAAAAGTTTAACATCACTACCGATGCTGAATAAACGAGGAAGAAAGAAATACAATGGCTGCAAGCATAAATGTCTTTTATCTCAAAGCAATTGTTAACCTAGATTAGTAGGAAATTCTAAAATACTTGTTATTATAAGGTTAAAAAATGGTAGAAATCAGTTGTAGTCGATAATCTTATCAAGAGTGTAACTTTTTAGGTTGGATAGCGTAACCTTTTAAGTTGGATAGATTGCAACCGAAAATGTTACATTATTCATAACAATTTCAGTTATAAGTCTTAAATCTCTGTAATGTAATTGTATAACTTTTTAGGTTGAACATGATAACATTTTAGGTTGAAATCTTCTTAAATTAGATTGTCGTACCGCATAATTACCCTAGATTAATTGCTGCTTCACCTCAACATTAACATGAAAGTTGAAACAAAGAAAAAATAAATTCGAACTATCATTTTACACTGCAAACATCAGCATCATCTTAACCTACAGCCCTCTCACATATGCATTACAAAATCAAAAGTAAAATCTGCAGCCATTTTAAACACAATACAAGTGTACCAAAATCTACTGCATAAATGAACTATTAGTGTCTATAATAATCTAAATACATGAAAATTTTAGACATAATTAACAACTAACCTTGCTTAATTATCACTTAAGATCATAAATAAAGAGATTAATAAGTGAGTCAGTTCACATGGCTATCTCCATCAAAATAACATAGTGATAATGAAAATGGATGGAGAGAGCTACACCTCAATTCTCAAATAGTGCTTAATGTTTTATTATCATTTTACATTACAAACAAAAGCAACGTAGAACTTTAACAATACATCTCTTTTTCATTTGCATTACAAAATCAAAACTAAAATCTGCAGCCAATTCATAACCAAAAAAAAAAAAGCAAACTTCAAATATATATGTATATAAATAAATGCCGCTGCTACAATTTTTAAATGGGAAATGATTCACAGAATGTCAAATCAGACCAACCATGGCAGTAGGTTCTTTACATTGGTACCAAATATATTTGCACAAAGATTATTAGCATGAAGAATTATCATGGCTTTCCTGAACATCGGTTTGAAGCCTCCTTGCCTTTGTGTCATCATGATAATTTTGATAAATATAAGAGGCAAAACCACAGAGTGCAAGAAGCATAGCAATTACCTTCACTCCGGTCGTTTTGTCATGAAAAACTACCAGAGCAGCTAGTGGAGTAACAGCCAACGACATAGTACTGATTACATTGGAGAAGAGAGACGTGACGAGAAAAATCAAGCCTACAACACCAACAGCACATATTTGCCAAGTTATAGCAGTCCAAACCAATGTCAGCACGTAAGAAACTCTTCCAGTGTCGAAGCCTTGCATCTCATGCTGCAAAGTCTTCCATTCCCCGCTGGCAAAGAGACCCACGACCGATACACAACTGGCAACGACGGATGTATAGATTTGCATTTCCAAAACAACAGAAAACGTTTCCTTCTTCAAAACCTTTTGAAAAGAAAGTTGCATAAGGGAAAGCAAAAGGGAGTAAAGGGCAGAAGCTCCGAGGGTAGCAAGGAAGCCGATGAGAAATTTCTTCTTAGAAACTCCTGATGGTCCTTCGGAATCATCATCAACTGCGATTAAGGCAGCGGACAAAGACAAGATAACCACCGAGTTCAGGATCAAAGCAGTGAACTTCTGTGAATTAAGGAAGTAGGAGAAAACTGCATTGAAAGCTAATTGAGTTGCACAAATGAGTGAGTACGTAGAGGCTGAGAGGTACAATAGCCCAACAGAATACAACATATTGTCACCGGCTACGACTGCTCCGAGAACGAAATAAATCAGAGCAAGAATTCTGATGGGAGGCGAGGTGGAAGAAGTTGAAGCTTCCGAAGAAGGGCGAAGGAAAAACAAAGGGATGAAAAGGACAGGGAAGCCAGCAGTTTGCACAAGAGTGGCCATCCATTTACTATTCCCACCCTGATCATAATAAAATCTCCCCAGAAGAACTGCAGCAGCTTGGCCAGCAATGAGGAAGAAAATGTTGATTGCCACCATAGCCCACCATTGCCAGTGCTTGAGTTTAAGAAACGGTGATTGCTCCATCAAATTTTCGTCCTTGTAAACAGTTTTACCTATACATTTGCAATTGAAAACTAAAATTAATGAATTGGATCAAAGTTCAAGAGGACTAATTCTTATTTTTGGCGACATAAAGAGCATGAAAGAGATTCATCCAAATCCCAGCACCATAAAATTAACATTTATATCACACGTCAAGTCCAAGTATTATTATAACGAGGAGGAGGGGCTGAAACATAAAGAATTTCATTTTAACTTCATTCGGTATATATATATATATATTATACCTAAGCGAAAACTTAAGTGATAAAGAATCATATCATTAGTAATCAACAGAACAAAGGCAAGCAATGGAATCTATGCATTAAAACAGAACCAATATTCAACATTAATCAGTCTTCTTTGCATAATTAAGATAACAGAAGCACTCCATTAAAGAATAAAAAAAACCTGTGCGTCAATAAAACAATCTCATCAGAGTATCGAGAACAAAATCTTATAATTCACATTCGATTTCTGATGAGAACCTGGCTCGCCAAGAATATGAGAGAGATAAAGAAGAAATATGATCGAAAGAGAATAGAAAATTCAAGACAAATGGGAATTTAAGTTTTCATTCACTTCAACCTCGTGAAGGGAAAAGTTTTGCCTGGCTCGTGATTCATTTTGGATAGTCACATAAAATTTTACCCTCAATTTGTTTGGGTAAAATAAGCTTTTAACCACTTAACCTTATATGTATTCCTAATTTGACTATTGAAGTTTAACAACTTTCAAATTAATCGCTAAATCTTAGACAATGAATTTTTTTTCACTGTACTGTTTTCTAAACTATTGTTTAATTACATGATTTATTTTAATACTTTTTTAGTCATATAATCATTAATTTAAAGTTTGATTATTACTTATGATGATCAACTATCATAGTAAATATTATTGATGATGGTCGTTAGATTTTAAAATTTTCAAATTATTTAGATCTGGTTTTTTGAATCGAATCACACAGAGGGATGGGTATGGGTATGGGTATGGTTGGATTTTCAGTCAAACTGATTCGATTCGAAAATTATACATCCTTCACCCAAACCCGATCAAACCTAAAAATATACACTCTTCACCCGATCCGAACCTGACTTGATTTTTTGAGATAAAATTCAAATCCGACCCAACTTGAAATAATATATTTATTAAAAAATATTATTTTTATCCGATAAAAATAGAGATTTAATTAAAAAAAATAATATATATATAGGGACATTATTGTAATTATACTTAAATATAAAAGTAAAATTATATGTTTTTTCTAGAGTCGGACCGAGTATTTTTCACCATAAACTTAAATCTGATCCTACCTGAATACAATCTCTGAAAATTTAGACCTAATTTAACCCGAACCTAATTTTTTTTTTAAAAATCAAATCAAACCGAATCGAAACTCATCGAATTTGGATTCGGATACTATGCCCATCCTAATCACACATTCATTTCACTCGAATTACATTAAACAAATATATATTATTCTTATTCCCCATGACCCACTTCATTTAACATCATCGCCTCCATCAAAACACAATCAAATCAATATCATCTGGATCCATCATATTATAACATTATTAATTTTTAACCACGGATTGATCAAAACATGTATAATTTAAAATTTTAATGATAATTTTTTTTTCAAAATCCTAACAATGAAAATAGAAATGCAAAAAGTTCTAGATGGAAATTATAATTTACCGAATCTTTTCGAATTGATTGATTTTTATTATCTAAATTGATATAATATGGATTTGATTTTTAATATTGATATTTTTTTATAAAAAATATTTATTTTTTAATTATATCTAGTGGTAATAAAAAAAAATATGTATTCAGACAGATTCCGATATGATAAATCAATTTATTTATCTTTTATAAAATTTAAATTTTATTTTTCTTTTATATATTATTAATTAAAAAAATTCAGAATTCTATAGGCATTGGGCTAGTCCACTTTCATTCGGACTAGGGACTCAATAGGCTTTCGACTCCTTTAATTACAATGTCGGTTTTGGCTTAGCATGTATTATTTTTCATATTTCCCCCCTAAATTGTTATCTTCTTTCCAGGTTCATCATAAACTTTTCAATGAGCATGACCTGATCCCCTTCGCTCTCTTTTGAAAATTTTGCAAAAAGAATAGGAAAAACGATACTTCTAATTGATTACGTCATTTTATTGGATTCCGATGGGCAGCCTAACATCCACCGTCGAAGTTCTGGGACGAAGGCACGAATCTGATCGTGAGAACGGCCGCTACATTTCTGAATCCGATGTTTCCCCCGATTACCCCTGCCAAAGCCGTCATAGCACTAGCTATGAAGCATACGAACGTGACCACCAGAGCCGCAATGGTAACCAACAGCGTAATCGTTCTGGTTCACCTGAATACAGAAACCCTAGAAGACGAAGCCCTCCCGAAATTCCTGAAAGAAGGCAGCGTTTTGAACGCGAGAAATCCGATGATTCTATCGATTATCGCCGCCGTCGGCGCAGTCCAATTTACGATGTATATGACCGCGACCGACCAAAAGCCGCAACCTTTCACGGTAACCTGGAGGCGAAAACCCTAGAAGGCGGATCCCTGCACATGACCGCTCCTTAAACTCGCTGCCCAAGGAACTCGGCAAGAATCATAGCTACCTAGACCGAGATTATAGGAACGGAAAACAATCGGAGTCTGAATCGGACGAGGAGTTGAAAGGATTGAACTTTGAGGAGTATAGGAGGCTGAAGAGGCAGAGGATGAGGAAGGCTTTTGAGTTCTGTATTTTGGAGAATAAACCTAATCCGCCGAGGAACGAAGACGATGATTTGGAGGATAAAGGTGTTGAAATTTCACAGATGTACGGGGAGGATAACCGTGATGAGAAAAGCGACTCCGGTAACGTAAATGAGAAGAAGGGCTATAAGAGAGCTAAATCCGAGTCTGAGTCTGAAAAACCTGTTAGAAGTGAATCAGAGAGTGAGTCGGGGAAAGAATCTGATTCAGATTATTTGAGATATCGGAAGAGGAAGAAGGGGAGTTCTAAGCGAAAAAATAGAAGCAAACGTAGAAGCGGGAAAACATCATCTTCCAGTGAATCCGACGATGAGGAGGAAGATAACAAACGGAGAAGGAAGTCGAGGAGAAAGCGGAGTAGCCGAAGTAAGAAAAGCAATAGAAGGAAAAGAAGCAAGAGGAAGAGTAGGCATAGTGATTCCGATGAGAGCAACATTGTTGAAAGCGAAACTGACATATCTTCCGATGATTGTGTCAAGTCGAAGGAGAAAAGTTGTTTGAATTCGAGGTCTAGAAAGAGTAAGAAAAGGAGAGGTTAAGAAACTGATAGCCAAGCTTCAGATTCTGATAAGAGTTCAGATTCTGGAGTTGCCGCTAAGAGTAAAGCAATGGTAGATGAGCCTATTATGGCTGATATTAATGCTGCCGAAGCTCTTATGTTCAAAGAAATGAAGGCTCAGAAGAAACCTGCACTGGGTAACGAGCCTATGGTTGGCCCAGCACCTTTGCCAAGAGCTGAGGGGCATATAAGTTATGATGATGCCATTGCACAATATGTCCAACAAGGGAAGCGTATCCCACGAAGAGGTGAAGTGGGTCTTTCTGCTAAAGAGATTCAGAAGTTTGAAAACCTTGGGTTTGTGATGAGTGGTGGCAGACATCAGAGAATGAATGCTATTCGTATTAGGAAAGAAAACCAGGTTTACAGTGCAGAGGACAAGAGGGCATTGGCTATGTTTAACTATGAAGAGAAAGCAAAGCGCGAGCACAAGGTTATGGCTGATTTGCAATGGCTGGTGTAGCGCCATATTGGGCAGGATGTTGGTCCACCTCACAACCCTTTCGCTGGAAAGGATGGTACCGATGCTTAAATCTCATGTATGTTCAACTATTTATGCTGTTGCCACTATTAGTTTGTTGCTAATTTGTTTGTGTTGCAATGAAAGCATTATCACTATTACAAACTGCTGAGATGTTGAGGGCAGCATTTTTCATGTAGTTAGAATATAGAAAATTCGAAATAAGAAAAACTGTGTTATGTTGGCATGATTTGCATTTTCATCAACATCCTTTCCCTTATTTTCTGTAAAGAATTGAATTGAGAAGATTATTATCAATTTGTCTTGGTTGAGACCAAAGGTGTGAAAGAGAAACACCCATTGTTTTGTTGTATCCTCAACTTTGTAGTAACTGATTGTTCAGTTGGTGATAGAAGTGTATATGGTGTTCCCGGGGGGGGTACTGTTTCCCTAATGTCTTGTTTCTGTTCCTGTCATGGCCGTATGATATGAAGATTGTGCTCTCTTTTTCGCCCGTAATATATTCATTTAGCGGTTATGGAATCCAAGCTCTTACTGTTGGATACTACAGTTTGTGATTTATACCGTACATACTAAACGTTGGAGAAAGGATGGGTGCTAGAACCATAAGAATACATTTTAGGATCGTTTTAAGAGGTGACAATGAAGGACAGGTCGTAGCATGATCTACAGCCTCTCTAGGAAATTTTGTTTAATTGGTAGAGATTTCAAACTATAGTATAACATGACATAAAAGGATATAGTTTCTGTTGTCATTTTTAGAAAAGTTGCTTAGTTGGTGAACTGATCATTAGTTTATATCATATAGCTTTTGCAAGGGGACTTGACATTAAACATATTGCTTGCTCATGCAGAATTTTGAGCTTGTCATCAGAATTGGCCATACAGCTTCATCTGAGACTCCACCGTTAGTAAATTGCAACCGTCCTCAGACCAATGGACAAGTTGATCTTGGCATCCGTCTGGGACTGTTTGAATCTATGTACTGTATGCATTGATGGAGGCACCAACAATGAAAACTCGACAGTTATTTACTAGTTCTGTTAACAATTTTTGTTAGTGTTCTGTTAACAATTTTTGTTAAGTGTATGAAATGCTTTTAGAAGATAAAGGTGCCATTGCTTAGCACTTGTTTAGCTAAAAGTTGAAATTCATTTTACATAAACACGCAGTAACAAATGCAGCAAAAGGAGAAGTACATATAACAATTAACAAGAAATCATGGTTGCATCATTTTCATTAAGTCGCTCATCTTACAAGTCATAAACTTGTTTTCCAGTGAACTTAACTTCAATGGGATTGACATTCTTCCCAATTGACCTAAAGTTCAGACCCACTCCTTGACGACCAGGGTTCACCTTCTCAGGATAAACACCGTCTTTGGGGTGAAGGTATTGAACCTCACCATTTGGGAAAACCCTGTAAAATTGGTACTTGATCTTGTACTTAGATCTCAGCCTGGTACCCAAAGCCAGGCACTGCTCTTTCCTTGCCAACTTGAGCAAGTTGGGTCCTTGCCTCATAATGGCAGCCCCTCCTGTAGGCATCTCGAAGATTTGTTCTTTGGGGGAATCCCATGTGATGACATAGAATTCTTCAACTTGTGCCTTTCTCAACAGCCCTCCGGTGCTTCCTCCAAATATGGGTGATGGGGTGTTAGGGTCCAACTCCGGTGGGGTGAAACCTACTGGAGCTTCCTTTGTGGCGGCTGCTGCCGTTGTCTCATCTGCCTCTGCAGCTGCAGCCCTAATGGATCTTTGAGCAATGGAGAAGTTGAGGGACATGGGGGTGGCGAAGGAAAATGAGGAGTATGGCTTCCATGGAGGCAGAGATTTTGGGGTGGTGATTGTGGGGGTGAAGAAACCTGCTTGAGTTGCCATGGGGTTTTAGATGATGGATGTAGTGCCTGGGGAGATGAGTTCCCTTTTCCTTTTTCTTCTTGTTGATTTCGTATGAGGGGATTGTGTGATGGATGATGATGATAAAGGGTAATGATTTCAGATGGATTGTGGTGTTGGGGTTCAGATCTTTAGGATAAGAAGATAATACTTGAACCAATAGGGTGCTTGATTTAGATGCTTGCTCTTACCCAAGCCTACTTCTTACTTTTTCCCCTAATATCCTTATCCATTTGTTTTTAATATAAATTTAATATGCAACTATTAGGGGTAAAAAAATATCCAAATTTTATAGATTTTGTTCTGATTTGATTTTACAAAGATAATTTTCTTTTAAAATTCCAGTTTGGGGGTAAGATAAAAAGAGTTTTAGGAAGAATAAAATTGGGATTGATGTGAGTTTGTGTTTAGAATAAAAAGAAAATATCTAATTCTATCTCGGAAATTTTAATTATATATTTTATTATATTTACAAAAAAAATATCTTATTATATATATATAATTCAATGACATCTTTCGGGGCACATGACAACTCTGCAAGGATCCACACTAAAAGGCTTAAAACTCGGGAAGCGCGACCCGTTCTTGTAATTTCGAAATCACCTCTAACAAGAACCTAAACCAACAGAACATTAAAACCGAACTCTGCTACTCGTACTGTTTAAGGAAGCTTGCTTGAAAGCATCAAAGTGTTGAGTCAAAAGTTAGGGGTAAAAGAGTTCGAGATATGCCTAATGCCCCCTCCCAACAATCAATGACACAACAAAAGCAAAGGAAATGAACAAACCTAAAGGTCAATTTTTCACATAAAATAGTGACGAAACTAAGAATATTGTTTTATTAGCAAATGGTTATCCTATTTACACGTCAGCATCACATTAAACCAATAAAATAATAATTTGACCTCATCTAACACCCAACCATGAAGACCCACATTATGGGTTTTGGTTGGTGCCCCCACTTTGGTTCCTACTTCAAAACTAGGTACCCGACCTCCATCTTAGCATTATTCTCTCTTGTTAAGATCAATGACCCCAGGTGATTGTGATAACTCTTTTGGTTCCTCAACCATAACAAGAACCCATGTGGTGCTTTTTCACTTAACATGAAGACCTATGTCTCCCTCGAAAATCTTTGCAATGCGTCCTGCACCTTGTCCCTTTATAAAATACCAAATGCAGTTTGCTTTCGATACCTCAGAACTCCGAAAGGTGGCAGGGGCATGTTGGTCAAGGTTGGAGCACGTTTCTTCTTTCAGCTGGAGTATTAGCAGAAGAATTCTCACTCTGCTGCTTGTTGAGCTAGTTCTCAGGTTGCCAACACCAGGATGAGACCCGACAATCATATCAGATGCGGTCCCGCTGCTGTAGGTATTTCTTGTCCCTGTGCCGATAACCCAGACTTGGTATTCACCCCGAACAATATTTGTGTTTGGCCTTGTGGAGGCTTCAATGGTTGCTGGGGAAATAATTTAATATTGGTACCAGGGGAAGCTGGTGTTCTAGCTGAGTTTTTCCACGGGGTTGATTGTGCAGCAGGGTTGCTTTGGGGCACAGTTTGTGAGAATACAGCAGCATTGCTAGAAAACTTGGCAGCAATGGAAGATGCAGGCATGGTGTTGGTTGTCTGAGTTTTGCTTCGAGAAGCTGTAGCAGGCTGCGGATGATGTTGTTGCGCCATGTGCTGCTTCTGAAGTTGAAGCAGCTGTTGATGGGAACTTGATGAGTTGGGAACAATGGGAGGATTTATGGTTACCGTAGTCGGGGTGGAGGAGCGTGGAGGCCAATTTCCAGTGACGGGAGAGGATACAAAGTTCAAGGATTTTGCTGAATTGTCAAAAACATACGTCTGACCGTTTGTCTTATGTGACTTCCTTGAACTTGCCTTTTTGCCATCATCGGTATTGGTTGAACTAGATCCACTCTTCCCATCAGATCCTTGGTGATTCTTCTGCTGTGCAGTTTGTGGTACAGGTGCAACTTGGTATCCTTGCCTAGCCATCTCAGGTAGGCTGTGAAAAATTGCGGGGTTCTGAGCCATAGATGAGAAGTTGAGATTTGAACCTTTGTTATTTCCAGTTAAGGAGGTAAATGACATGGCAAATGCTTGAGGAGGAACGAGATCAACTCCGCCTCCACCCACCGATGCAGAGGGTACTAGCGCAAAGTTGAGTGGCTGATGATGAACTGGTGGGTTCTGGCAATGAACCTTTTTCTGCGCATTTGCAGTTGTATGCTCCCCACTCATCTCATGCTCCATTTTACGAGACTGATTGGATGAAAGCATCTTATGCTCCTGCAACTGCCGTGAATGCATACTGGTTGAGCTCAAAAAATTACTGGCACAAACTTGTCCACCCCGTTGTTGCTGACTTTCTGGTTGCTTGTGGGATGATGATGAACCGCTTGACGGGACTGCATTTTGATAAGGTGGTTGAACCAGAGGCTGAGAGCGAGCTAGCTGTTGTTGAAGTTGAGGATGGAACATCTGAGAAGAATTGAAAGACCCATTATAGAAAGGCAACACCTGACCGTGGGTCGGTCCTCTAATTGAAGGCGGGTTTCCAACAGGAGCAGAGATAGAAAACGGGTAACCATTGTTCTGTATTATAGTCAAGTATGGAGGTTGGTTAGCAGCCAAATTTGGGTAATTAAAGCTCACAGCTGTTGCTACCCCTGGTAACACTGTAGAGCTAGTCGAGATTCCAGGTGTCGAATTATCAGTCGAGGATGCTTTACTAGTAGAGGTAGCAGGTTTGGAAGGGCCAGATTGATTTGCACTTGTTTGATACTGACTCAAAGGAAAGATGAAAGCAGGGCCATTCTGCAACATGATGAAAAAACCAAGACTTTGAAAATGATAAATTCTTAAAACAAATAGAATGAAAATGGATTTGCAAGGATTCTTCATTAACTTAAAAAAGTATAACATACCATCAAGTTACCAGCAGATACTGGTTGGGAAGCCTTCTGAAGCGCCACCTGCTTTCTCTGCGCCGTATCCTTGGCACATTCAGAGGTTTTATCTTTGCTGGTAACACCAGGAAAACTCACTGCAACCTTACTTTTCTCCTCCGTAGGACTTAGATTCACTAATGGATTTCCAAGAGCCGATGTTTCCGCAGATGTAACCACATTGAGATAGCTGGGCTTGGCCCCAGATAGAGAAGCAAAACTGGTCTGCGGTGGCCAAAAATGGTTCACTTTTGCATACTGCTGGTGTAAGTGTATGTTATGAGCAATGTAACGATGCATGACGCATCTTTTAGGCCGTGGTTGGGAAAATGAGAAACGAAGAGGCTGCATATTTCCAATAGAAACTCAATTAATTTAAAGCCAAGAAAATATGTGACAAATAACCTGAGCCATATATTTAAACCTTTGGCCAAGCAATGAAACCAGTAATTCATACCTGCAATGTCGTAGATGATCTAGCGCTTGCATCCAAGGGCGCAATTGTTGGGAACGGAGGCATATACCTGTTATAAAAATAAAATTTAAACTACATAGAAATAAAAATGAAAAATACAACCAGACTATTTAACAAAAACAAAATGCAGGTTCGGAACAAAGTCTTGATAGCTTACCCTAAAGGCGGAAAACCATTCGGCAGATGCACTGAACTAGATTGAGCTGAATAAGAGACGAGGATCAATTAGTACACTCGTCTTATCATAACTCAAGAAAACCAAGAGCTAAAGTTAACAAATAGAATTCATTGAGCAACACGGTGAATCAAACCTGAAACATAATAAAATTACCTGTTTCCAGCGCTTTAGCTAGCTGTTGCTTTTGACCTTGCTCAGATATACAACAATCACTAACAGCTTGATCCGGCTTCTCCAAATTAAGGTTCAATGAATCCTGTTTCTCGATCATAGTAGCCTTCTTCTTGTCTTTACCATCATCTGCTCTCATTTCTTTCTTCACAGCATTTGCTTCGTCCTTAGCCAAGGTCTCCACCTTCTGCATCAAAAATGAAAAAGTAAGAAAAATGTATTTGAACTGAACAAAAAATCGTGAGAAAGTAGAAACGAAAGTCGCTAACCGGTTCTACTTCCCAAGCCTTGTAGTTCGGATCCAATGTGATATCCACATAGCGATCCTTTACCGGAGATGATGCCATAGGAGGAGCCTGTAGGAAAAAGGTGGCGTTAAGCTTTATTCAGAAATTTCGACAGCAATCTAATACAAATTCTCGAGAGAATGGAGATTCTCACCATCAAATCGATCTTGAACTTCTCCCCAAGCTGGCTTTCCGCTCTTTGCTCCTTGGATATTCTATTAATATCCCACGCCATTTAAAAAGAAATCAGATATTTTGAGAGCATTTGTTAAAGGAGAAGGACAAAAAAAGAAAGAAAAAGGAATCTCTGATGCTTACAGTTTGATTGCTGTAGGATTCTGGAAATCAACATCCGAATTAGAGGATTCCTTTTCAGTCGTGACAAACTTTTCCTCGGTCACATCTCTATCCACAGGTCTCGTCTCTCCAACGGATGGCTTCAAATCTCCTTGTTTAATCAAACTTACATTTTCCCGTGACTCCATCACCACTGATGCAGTTTTAGAAGTGCCGTTTCCGGTAGTTACGGCATTAGGTCCTGAAATTTGACCCTTTTCCGGTGAACAAATTTCCATTTCTGCCTTCTGCTCATTCTCAACTTTCGGTGGAGTTAGAGAATCCACGACTTTGACTTTCTTCTCCTTCAAGGCTACAAGAGCCAAAATAAATAAATAAAAAATAAAGAAAAAGAAAACCTGGGACTGAATGCTAAGAGTACTAACCATCGCCAGTTAATTGATCCTGCTTAATATCGGTGGAGGAAACATTTGCATCATCAGATTCGAGCTTTGAAAAAGGATTTCCAGCGCTATCTTCCTTCTTGGAGCTATGCGATTGTTTCATCAATCCGAAAAGAACCTCTGCGATTTCAATCTCGATATCTTCTTGAACTGAGGTCGACGACTTGGTCGGCTTTGGAAGTCGAGTCTTGGGTCGATTTGTCTTCTGCAACATCTCAAAAAAGAAACCCAAAAACAGCTAAATCCTCTCAATTTCGTCAAACGCT